ACAGAGCACTTCACTCTCAGACTGCAGGTTTACTTGTGGTTCCTAGATTTTCCAAAAGCAGAATGGGAGGCAGATCTTTCAGTTATCAGGCTCCTCTCTTGTGGAACCAACTTCCAATCTCTGTCCGTGAGGCTGACACATTGTCCAGTTTTAAAACTGGGCTTAAGACTTTCCTTTTTGCTAAATCCTATAGTTAGGGTCGGCTTGGGTTTCCTGAGCTGTCCCTTAGTTATGCTGCTATAGTCTTAGACTGCTGGAGGACAAACTGACCACATTTCTTCACTCTGCTGCTTCTTTACTTGCTCAACTCTGCCTGTTTGTATTTGTAATTATTTATAACCTTAATGTTTTAATTTATCTTTCCTCCTATACAAAGTACACCTGGACCTGTCATTCCCTGTTTGTCTGTCTCTCCTCCCTGTCCTCTCAAACCCAACCAGTTGAAGCAGATGGCTGCTTGAACTGAGCATGGTTCTGCTTGAGGTTACTTCCTGTTAAAATTGAGTTTTTTCTTTCCACTATCTCCTTTGTACTTGCTCAGAATGGGAGATTGCGATGAAGTGAAGATTCAAGTCTGCTGCTTCCTCAGATAGAGAACTTTACTAACTAGGCCTGAGCATCTAAGTGCTGCTAAGGCCTGTTGTAATCGCTCTGTTCAGGCCCGAGCTGCAATTTCTTCAGCCAAAGAAATTGGCGTTTTGGGGGCCTTAACATATCTCAAAAGTCACCAAATTTGGCGGACGCATGAGGACTGGTGAAATATTACGTATTTTAAGGGCGTGGCAAAAATCACAACAGAAACGGATCAAGAGCACCACCTAGAAATTTTCAAAATACCCTCCGCATTAACCTTAGTTTGTTGTAGAAACATGAAATTTGGTACGCATGTCCAATTCCCCAAGATGCACAGAAAACCCTCTGGCACCAACATCGTACGATAAACAGGAAGGCGGCCATTTTGGAATGCCGCCCCAATTTTCACACCTTTTGGGCGGTTTACAGCCTCCACATTTGAACAAATTCCTCCTAGGGATTTCACTCAATCGGTTTCAAACTTGACCATTTTGGTCAAACGGCATGGGGGATGCAAGCTATCTAAACGGTTTGTTTTGGAGCATGCTGAAGGGGCGGGGCCAGACCTCAAAATTCAACATCTCACCATGAAAAACAAAACGCTAATAGCTCCTACAAGAAAACTGTCTGAAACATCAAACCTTCAGTGATTGATCCACATCTGGTCCCCTGCAACACTGAATGGTCAAATCATGACATTGCTTAAGCCACACCCCCTGACAACAGGAAGTATAAAGTTTTACATTAAACAATCCCTATCTAACCCCTGTTACCTGATCAGCATGATAGTGTGTCCAGTGACCGAAGACAAGTTGGTGTAACTTGCTTTACAACACTGACAGTTTTGGGTGGAGCATGTGGGCGGCGTGGCGTGGTGAAGTAACACGTAATGCCGTTGCCATACGTTTGACTTTAAATTCCACAGATTTGAACCGAGGTGCACCAAAATCAGTATGATTGATCATTATCCACCCCTTGAACAGGAAGCCATGATAAGTGCCCAATAGCCTCCACAGCGCCCCCTAGAATATTTTAAAACCTCAGCCCCAAGCCATTTTTGGACCGATAATTCTGAAACTCTGTGAACTTCTGTATCTTCTCAGGATCTATGAAAAAGTCTCTTGGAGCCCTGGTCCAAAACTAACAGGAAGTCAGCCATTTTGGGGTGTTTCTAATTGCGAATTTTAACAAACTCCTCCTAGGGATTTTGAAGGATTGCCTTCAAACTTGGTTGATATGCCCTTAATACATTGGAGAGGAAACGTTATCAAAAGCTTGTGGGTTTTGTATATGTTAAAGGGACATGGCCAGGCCTCAAAGTTTTGCTTCACGCAATAAATTTCCAAACACTAACTTTCACTTTGAAAGACCGAAATGCACGAAACTTGGCATGAATCATCCCTGTTGGATGCCCGATGAACCACTGTGGTCATATTTTGACATGATCAAAGCCCCGCCCCCTCAGGACAGGAAGTCTATTTGTTAACTTGGAATGCTCCCTCTTTGACACCATTGACCTAATCAGAATGATCCTGTGTTAGAAGATAGATAATATGGTTTGACTTGATTTAAAGCACAAACCATTTTTGCTTTAGGATGTGTGTGTGGTGGCGAAGTGACGCCGTTGCAATACATTTGGCTCTAAATTGTACAGATTTCAGCCGAGGTGCACCAAAATCACTATGATCGATTGTTATCCACCCCTTGAACAGGTGTCCATGATAAGTGGCCAATAGCCTCCACAGCGCCACCTACATTATTCCTACAGTTATAGCTCAGTGATACAACATCTGATCTGCAGCAGATTTATTGTGCGTCATCAGTGAGGACTTTTAGACACATTAACATTGTGGTTTAACATATGACTCAAGTGTGCCCTTAGATTATTTAATCAGTTATATCTCAGTGAAATATCATCCAGTATGTACCAGATTTTATGTACGTGATCAGTGAGCACTTTTAGACACATTGATGCTGTTCTTTAACATTGGACTCAAGTGCGCCCCCTACATTATTCCATCAGTTATATCTCAGTGATACATCATCCAATCTGAACCTGACTTTGTGTGCTTCATCAGTGAGCACTTGTAAACACATTGGTATTGTTGATTCATGACATCACTTAAGCTCCACCTACTCAGAGAAAAATCTGTCGATTATTGGATGACACTTCCAGCTTGGCACTGTGTAAGATATTAGACTGAAACTTTGTTAGCTAACTGTTGATTACCACACATGACATGTTGAAAAGCTTAAAGGAAGTGCTTGTCAAACATTCACCACAAAACAGGAAGTCACCATAACTCGTGTCTGGAAGGTCAGATTTTGTCTATACTTGTAAAACCTGCAGCTGGACAAGTAACAACATGGACGGAAGGCGATGTCCAAGATTCGGGAAATGCGCCCCATGGTGAACGTGTGCGGGATTGGCACGAGAGAGTTTGCAATGGCGACTGGGTGGACTAGCTGAAGCTCCCTTGATCACCGTAAGGCCGGAGTGGCGCTTTGCTGAGAGGGCCTCCAATGCTGCTTGCAGCTTTAATTTTATTTGTTTTTAAAAGTTTAAATGGTCTTGCTCCATCCTACCTCTCTGAGCTGCTTCACCCATACTCTCCTGCTCGGTGCCTCAGATCAGCTGATCAGCTGCTCCTGGAGGTGCCGAGGTTCAAGCGGAGGCTCAGAGGGGACAGAGCTTTTTCTGTTGCTGCTCCAAGACTGTGGAACGATCTCCCTCTTCCCATCAGACGAGCCCCTTCACTGTCCAGTTTTAAAACTCTTTTAAAAACACATTTGTAAATGAGTCCTCGAGGCTCAGTGGGATTTACGTCTCTAAATAATGGTTGAATGAATGAACATTTTCACTCCCTGGCTTTTAGCACACACTGAATGTATTCTGCACTGTTTTTATTACTTTTTATTGATCTTAATGTTTTAACAACTGTTTTTATGTGTTTAAATGTTCTTGATTTTATATGTACAGCACTTTGTGGCAGCTGTGGTTGTTTTAAAGGGCTTTATAAATAAAGTATTATTATTATTATTATTATTATTATTATTATTATCAAATTTGCAAATCATTGCATTTTGTCTTATGTACATTTTACACAAAGTCTCAACTTATATAAAAACGGAATCGTTTATAGTCAAAAGAATAAAAGTTAAACTCTTTTCCTGTGATCATTTTAGATAAAACATAGTTTCGTGGTCATTTGGTCAAAGTTTAAGATTGACGGCTCCTGGTTTACCATTCTAACTGAGGGTATCAGTGCGTGCGTGTGTGCGTGCGTGTGTGTGTCTCTCTCTGTGTGCGTGCGTGTGTGTGTTTATCAAAACCACAGACAATTCCACCACGTGAGCTCGGGTTGACCCTCTCTGTCCATGTGAAGATGATGATGATGATGATGATAAGTAGGAGGGGTCACCGTGGGAGGGGTCGCGCGCTGTGACAGAGTGGGCTGACAGGAGTCGGACCGGAGCCGTAGAGGCGGATCGTGACACCAGAACCAGAAGAACGGCGGGAGGTGTGCCGCCTCGGATCAGATCTGAGGGGGAGTCCGTCAGAAAGCTCGAGGGACAGATCGACTTTTATTTTGGTCTCAAACGCACGCGCGGCTGAAAGTGACGAGCCGCCAGTTCGGACCGAGCGCTCCGGTGCGTAACGGACCATGAGGGACTCCGCGGGTCTTCCAGGTGGTCCAGACCTCTGCGCATCTTCTCAAAGATTCAGAGACCAGAGAAAGCTTGTTTGGACCCGAACCTGTTGACCAGGACGGTTCTGGTCTCGAGGCTCCAATAAAACCAACAGAAAAGATTTTGTCCATTTTGAGTCGAAGACAACCTGCCCCCCCCCCCCCCCCTCTCTCCTCAGGACCAGTCAGCACATTTCTGATGAGGATGCGCGCTGATCACGAGGAGACTTTCAGGACAGTCAGATGTTTGTGTTCTTCCCTGGAGGGGTGTGATGGCTCAGCTGAGAACATGTTGCTGCTCGGCTCCAACTTGAACCAGGACAGGATGCTGACTCTCAGGACCTTCTAAACCCCGGGCTAAAGTCAGGTAGGAGGGTTGACAGAAACCGGGAGGGGGTCTTTACTCGGCTGGAAACGTCTTCTCGGTTCTGTGTGGAGCTCAAAGACCAGCAGGAGACCCGGGGGGGCAGCTTGTTGATGGCACTGCGCACAGGGAGGGTTTGGTTCGGGCAGGTCTTGCGCAGGGTCTCTCGGCTGCAGGGTTCCTGGTCCAGACGGTCCAGCAGCTTACTGTGTCTCTCCGCGAACCAGGAGCAGGATCTGTGTCACAAGGCGGGCGCCCAGCGGCCCCTGAGCGCACCTTTCCGCGCCCCCACCTCCGCGCGCTGCCCACGCGGCTTCCCTCACGCCTGCTGCGCCTTCGCGGGGACTCCGGGGGGACATGAGCCCCTCGGCCGCCGCTTCCTGTTGGCCATGAAGCGGCAAAACGTGCGGACCCTATCCCTGATCGTCTGCACGTTCACGTACCTGCTGGTGGGGGCCGCGGTGTTTGACGCGCTGGAGTCCGAGTTCGAGATGCGGGAGAAGGAGCAGCTGGAGGCGGAGGAGCGGCGGCTGCAGGGGAAGTACAACATCAGCGAGGACGACTACCGCAAACTGGAGAGCATCATCATGGAGGCCGAGCCGCACAGGGCGGGGGTCCAGTGGAAGTTCGCGGGCTCCTTTTACTTCGCCATCACCGTCATCACCACCATTGGTAAGCCCTCGGGACCCCCCCCCCCCCCCCCCCCCACTCCGCGCGCGCGCGTGTGTAGTTTGTGAATGTGAGACACGGAACGTTTGCTTTAGGTCACTGCTAACACCAACAGGTGGAGGAACTGGGCCACGATTAGACTGGAGGAGGTCAAGTTTGAAGCAACACGTTGTTGAGGAGGTTCTGTTGCTGAGGAGGTTCTGTTGCTGAGGAGGTTCTGTTGTGGAGGAGGTTCTGTTGCTGAGGAGGTTCTGTTGCTGAGGAGGTTCTGTTGCTGAGGAGGTTCTGTTGTTGAGGAGGTTCTGTTGTTGAGGAGGTTCTGTTGCTGAGGAGGTTCTGTTCCGTTGAGCATCTGGTTCGGGAAAAAAACAAATCAGAAACAGGACTAAACGGTTCTGAAAGTCCAGTCGTTGTGGTTCTGACTGTGCGCCATCATGTGCCGGGGCAGGAGGCGGTGCTGAACGGACAGCTCCTCCGAGTTCAGCAGAAACCTGATCCTGTTCACACTCACACATCAGCCAATCCGGATCAGCAGCCAGCGCAGCGCTCCCTCAGAGCAGTTCATTTGGTCTTTCTGTGAATCACAACATTTGCTGAAGTTTGAAAACACGACGAGAGTTTAAAAAGTTCTAACCTGTCAAGTTTGGGACATGTAAATATTTAAAGCTTTCCCTGAACGAATGCCTGTCACCCGCCGCCCTCTGAAACAACCAGCTGTTTGTCAATGACGTCAGTGCGACAACCTGTGGCACCTGGCAACACTTGAGTTAAGAATGACTGTCAGCTACTACCACACACCTGTGAGCTGTGTGTGAACATGACTCACAGCAGATGTGGTTGTGGCAGCCACCTTCATCTGCTCTACATGAATGTTTGATTAATATTTTCCAAAAGTTTCATTAAGAATTTCAAGTAGTTCAGATATTTTGCTAACAGACAGACAGGTTGACACCAAGGTAGAGTGATTTTTTTTGTTACAAATTATTGCACAGTTTGTAAAGTGTTGGAGCGGATGCTCAGCTACTAGCACACTATTAATCAATGAAGCTAAAAGAACAGAAACAATGTTTGTGGCTCCTGAGTTGCCAGGGTGAGTTTCTGAGTGTAAACCTGATCTGGTGTGATGTGCTCGCACTCAGAGTTTGTGTTGAGAACAACCCTCAGCTACTGCCTGAGAACAACCCTCAGTTGTTCTCAGGCAGTAGCTGAGGGTTGTTCTCAGGCAGTAACTGAGGGTTGTTCTCAGGAAGTAGCTTAGGGTTGTTCTCAGGCAGTAGCTGAGGGTTGTTCTCAGGCAGTGGCTGAGGGTTGTTCTCAGGCAGTAGCTGAG